TTTTATCCTAGTGTTCATTCTCTTCTGAAAACTTTTTCCTCATTCACCACATCCATGCTCCTACCTCGTTAACTCCAACAAAGGTCTTGTCTCTGGATCTTCTGTTATCAGATAAACTTTTTTGGTCCTCAAAGTTCATCCAACCATTCTAAGGCCTTTAATCACTCAGCTCTTCATAGCCCTTCTACTAGCATCTGATCTGCCTCATCAGTTCTGGTCTGATGAACCCAGCCCCTGAGAGTTGTGATCACTTTCTTTTCTTTTCCTTCTCATGTAGCTCACCAAGTCTATTCAGTGTTGAAGGGCTTGAGCCACTTAGTGAAGGTCTCTCCTCCTGTTCAGCTCTTAGATATTTGAGTTATTGGTCATGATTCTTTAAGTGTGGTGATAGATGATGAAACTCAGGGTATATTCAAATGCTCACAAATAATCGTATCTACTGAATGTATATGGGTCTGACCCATAGCTACTGTTGACACACTATTTGAATAGAATCACTCACTTGTCAGCCTTGTCTTTTGCTTTTTTGACTCTGGAGTCTGATCTAGGATCATTCATCTCTTTGGCTTCTCTTTGTAGCTCAGCTATCTGCACTCTGATATCCTCCCATATGTGCTTTTTCTTCAGGCAATCCTTAGATATGTGGCCCTTTTGACTACAGTTAAAACACTTGTCTTCTTTCTTGAAGTGATCAATGTCCATTGGTTTGCTGGTGCCAGTGTATATTGTCCCAGTGCCTGTCTTCTGCATAGTATAGGAAGACATCAAAGTCACAGTAGTGCTAGACTTGGCATTGGATCCTCTGCTGGTATTCTTTCCATTCTCTGTCTGATGGGGCTTCTTTTGATTGATTGTGATCCTGGTGCTAACTGCCTTCTGTTGCAGCCTTTTCTTGTTCATCTCTGTGATTCATGCTTTCCAGACTTCATAGTCTTTCAGAATGTTCATGCCAATGTTGGAGATTATACTGATGTAGGATAGAGGTACCCCTATCTTGAGGTACTCAACCATTTATTTATCATCATCGATGCTTTCTCATACTCTGGCCAGTGTTTCCAATCATTCTAGTTCATCAAAATATTTACTTGCCACCTTGTTGCCCATATGGAGTTTCTTCATCTTGTTCTTGTGAACTTTCTGGATGGCAGAATTGACAAATTTGTCTTAGATCATCTATTTGAAAACAGGCCAGAACAGGTATTAGTAGTGCTGTCATATAGTGGATTGTAGGATCAGAGCAATCAGGATCTACCATCACTTGGCCTTGCTTTCAAAGTATGATGCTGAGAAGGTGATCTTATTCATATCTAACTCCAGATAAGCTGTATACATCTTGAAGTATTGTTCACAATCAATCAAGAAGCCATCAATGTTGTCTGATACACCCTTGAAGGGTTAAAAGATCCAGATGACAGATAGAATGAGGAGATAAAGGATAGGGAAACTATCCTCATTGTTGATTTCTAATAGACTCTGCATGTATGAGCAATGCATCATGCCAATGATCTGGCTGCTAAAATGACTGCTGAGAGGGAGGAAAAGATATTTAAAGAGATAGTACTCAGGTGGACATAAGACTACAAAGATCTCTTTAAGAAAGAGAGCTTTGATGAGCTTCTGCAGCTCAGGCTATGAGATCATGCTATTGAACTGATCTCAAATGCCAACACCAACTTAGACTGCAAGACATACCCACTTGAGAATAATGAACAGCAGGAACTCAACAAATTCTTGGATGAGAATCTCTCTAGCAGTAGAATCCAGCTATTAAAATCTCTGATGGTTTCTCCATTCTTCTTCATTAAAAAGAAGGATGACAAGCTCTAACTGGTTCAGGATTATCAAAAGCTAAACAGAATGATGATCAAGAATTGCTAACCACTTCCTCTGATCTTGGAACTGATGGACAAGCTATGAGAGGCCAAGTATTACACCAAACTGGATGTTTGATGGAGATATAATAATGTTCACATCAAAGAGGACAATGAGTGAAAGGCCACCTTTAGGATCAATCAAAGACTGTTTGAACTAACAGTCATATTCTTCAGTCTTACTAACTCACCTGCTATCTTCCAATAGATGATGAACAACATATTTAAGGATCTCATCACTATTAGAAAGGTAATCATCTACCTTGATGACATTCTTATCATATCAAAAACCAAGGAGGAACATCAAAAGCTAATATAGCAAGTTTTAGCTCTAATAAGGAAAAATAAACTTTTTCTCAAAGTGGAAAAGTGCAGATTTGAAGTACTACAGATAGAGTACTTGGAGATTATTATTAGCAAAGGAAGTATCTGAATGGATCCTATCAAAGTGACCAGCATAATTGAGTGGCCAGAGCTGATGAAGAAAAAGAAGCTTTAATCCTTCTTAGAATTTACTAACTTCTACTGCTAGTTCATATGAGATTACAGCAAAGTCATAAGATCTATGATGCAATTAACTGGCAATGCTCCATAGACATAGAGACTATCACAGCAATCAGCCTTTGATAATCTGAAGAAGTGATTAGCAGAAGACAGTGTGTTAGTTATTTCAGATCAAAATGGCAAATTCTATGTTAAAGCCAATTCCAATGAAGAGGCTATCAGGGCAGTACTTTCCCAGAAATAAGATGAGAGGTGATGCTCAGTTGCCTTCCTTTCTAAAACACTGACAACCACTAAATAAAATTATAAAATCTATAACAAGAAACTGCTCATAATAATGCTTGCCCTAGAGAAATAGAGATATTATCTAATTGGTGCTACTGAAACCTCTAAGATCTAAACAGATCACCAGAATCTCAGGTATTTCCAACAACCACAAAAGCTGAACTGACATTAGGCATAGTGGATGACTAAATTCAGTCAATATGCTTACACTCTACACTATAAAGCTGGAATAGCCAATAAAAAAGCCAATCTGCTCAGTAGGCACATCAATCATGACCAAGAAGAGAGAGACAACAAAGAAGTGATGTTATTAAAGTCTGAGCATTTCTGAGCAATAATAATGCCAACTAAAGAGGAGATCTATGAAAGGATCAAAAGTGTGATCAGAGATACCAGTAAATAGGACCAATAAGTGGCTCCATCTCTAAATCATGAATGGAAAATGACCAAGAAGGAGAAAATGATCCACTATAATAGGTGGATCTATATACTATAGGATCAAACTTTGTGAGATGAGATTATTATCATGTGCTATGACTATGCAATATATGGACATTCAGAAATTACAAAGACCAAAAAATTAGTCCTCTGGAAATATTGGTGACTAAAACTAGAACAAGATATTGAACAATATGTGAAAGAGTGTGAAACTTGCTAATAAGAGAAATTGATCACTCAGATGTAGGCTGTGTCACTTCATCTGAATGAGGTACCACATTCACTATGAATCCATATTTCAGTGGATATGATAACTGGCCTCTCTGACTGCAATAGTTATGATGCCATCATTATTATTGTCAATCACTTCTCAAAGGCAATCATTTCTGTCACATGTTCTATAGAACTCACACCTGAAGGATAGGCTAAAATACTATGTGACAAGATTTATACCAAATACAGCATGTCTCAGACCATCATCTCAGACTAGAGACCTCAATTTTTATCCAAATTTCTGGATAATCTTTATTGGCTACTCAATATCAAATAAAATGCATCCACCACCTATCATCTACAGACTGATAGCCAGATAGAGTGGGCCAATCAGAAGGTTGAGAAATACCTATGACTCTTCATTAATTACTGCTAAGACAATTAGGTTGAATAGTTGGTATTTGCCACCTTTCAATACAACAACTATATTCACTCTACAATAGATAAATCATTATTCTTCATGAACTTTGAGTGACACCCTAACATTGTCTAAATGACATGCTCTCATACAACTATGCTGGCCTCAACTGATTTTGCTATAACAATAGTAAACATCTATAAGAAAATATAAACTATATTCAAGAAGGTAGTGACAATAATGAAGAAACAATATGATACTTATCATTGTCTGGCTTATACATATATCACAAACAACAAAGTCTGATTGGATACAACCAACCTCCATTTCTTGCAGCCCAAACAAAAACTTTCTGATAAATGCACAGGTCCTTTTCCCATATTAGCTAAGGTTGGTGCCCTGGCCTACTGTCTCTGACTACTATTCTATTGGAAAATCCATAATATCTTTAACAAAATATTATTAGCACCTTATATTGGCCTAGCATTCTCTAATCAAGAACACTCTCTGCCACCACTGCTGGACTTAATTGATGATGAGAAATATTATAAAATTGATCAAATATTAAATTATAAGCTTCATAAAATCAAAGCATATGATGATGGTATGACCACAACAGTGGATTACTTGATCAGTTGGAAGGAGTATAGACCTGAATCCAACTAATGGGTGAACAAAAAGTGGATGAATGCCATAGAAGCTATACATGACTATAAATTATCCCTAAATTAGTTTATCAGGATGATGGTCTTAAAGAGAGGGTAATGTTATGAATTTTATCTTTTTTCCTTTTCTTTTCACAAGATTAATCTCTATTTGAGCTTAGTCAGAGTGTTTAATATGAGCACTTGAGACTATGGATCAGGCTTAGTCATTACAACAAGTCTAGTTAGTCATTGTTTTTTAATGCAATACAGTTGCCCAATGATACACAATAACTCTCTTATAGATAGCAGCAATACCCAAGGACAAAGAGCACAACAACTAGGATAGATACAATAAGTAGCAGTATTTATATCATCAACAACTTGTAGTATATAGGGAGAATTGCTCTTACTGGTAATCTCTAGCTTTGAGCTAAAGTTTATCTTTACACTATTCTACTCTCGAGCCAATTCTAAGGTCTTAAAGCACATTGATCAATATATATATCAGTGGACTCTGACATTCTCACTCAAAGTGTGAAGTGATGTTAGTTTATCATATGTTTATAGTCACATGCAGCTTAAGTCTAAAAGAAAGGAGAGGTCTGGCAATTCTTTATCTAAAATGTCAGCTCTGACTATATAGACTGGACATTCACTCAATTCTATAATGAGCTTTTCAACTGGTATTTTTCAAGGGACTATCATATAGATAGAAAGATTGCAAAATGCTTCCAAGGTTCTAGACATGTTCAGGATTATACCTTTGAACTACAGAGTCAGTTCAAAATGTTGAGAGATGAATCTGAATGCACTTAAGTGATCAAACTATAATATGAACTCTGTCAGAGCATTTAATCTAGATTACTGATGTGTGAGTATCATCAGGAGATTAATTCATGAGATGATATCTCCAGTATGGCTGAGATCATTGAGATTGTTCAATTCAGTATAAAAAATGCTCACCATTGTAACTATGATCATAATTGTCATACTAATAATATATGCACTAATGCTGTTACAGAAGTCAATAAATATAATAATGTATCATGCCTCAAATATGATAACTCTCTGAAGCCAGCATGGCTAACTCCAACTCAGAAAGCTTGTAAAATTTGTTCTGGTGTAGTTTTTAGCTTAAGTTCACAGAACTGAAATAGATCCTATTAGAAAAAGAAGCCTTGAGATAAGAAGCTTTCAAAAAAAGAGTGAGCAGAGTATCTTGCTGATGGCCATTGTTTCTGCTGTAGAAAAGCTGGTCATAAATCAAGAGACTGCTCAGATGGTTGCTTTGCCTCTGAAAAACACTCTGGTTTATCTGAGCTCTCCTCAGCCAGTATTCATGTAGCTCTGAAGGAGGCTGATAGAGTATCACAGTTAACAAGTGCCTCTAATACATAATTTGACTTACAATTGAATAGCATTGATATGCATGGTCTCTTGAATCTTGTGCCTGCCCAGTTCATAGAGTTTTGTGCTGATAATACTTGTGACTCAGCTTATAGCTCTGCCTGTGGATGTGAGGGTAATAATAAATTTATCTTAAATACTGTTGACAGTCCTCCCATGCTAGAGAATACTGAAGAGAAGAGTGGAGATTCTATACCTTTCAATTCTGGCAAGTAGTGCTCATATTAGCCTCCATAGAGGGATGTAGATTATCCAAAACTTAGCCCAGAAGAACATTATAATTGATCAGAAACACAGACCTCAAAGTTTTTGCAAACTCCAGTGAATGATATTTATAAATCAGTGTCTGAACATTATCTTGCATATAATATACTATACTCTGAAGACAATCATACTTGGATTGATAGTCATCTTGAGCATTTTGTGATCTATGAGATTACAGGAGATCAGTTTCTGATACTGGATAATAATCATGATGAATGGGAAAACATCATTGTACCAGCATCAGTGGTAAAGTCAGGAAGGATTGTAACCTGATATCATGAATATTGCTTGCAAGCATTAAATCTTTCTAGCATTGAACACTATGCTGATTATAATAGAGATGTATTATACACTTTCATTAAAGAATCCTTGAATGCTAGATTGAGCAGTGAGGATTTCTCAGAGTGTTTTATAGTGCACCATCAATCCAGTGATATGCTTCTGATATAAGATGATTTGTTAAATCATGAGTGATAGTGGATTATTGAGGAATTTTATATTGACAACACTAGCTGATCAGCTCAAAATTAAGAAGATAGTATTGGGAAAACCTGTCATCTTGCATCTGGCTATACAGGACTCAAGGTCTTGCATAAATTCTGAGACAAAAGCAACACTGATTGTCTAAGATATCTATGATAAATAATGATATATTGATGTTTGTAATCTGTCTCAGTATGATATTATTCTGGGTACCTCCTTTCTGTGTCAATATCAGATTTCATTTGAGTAGAATCCAATGCATATATACATTAGCAGTTTGACACTACTACTTGTTGAAGAGAAAAACATTGGCAAGTTGTCTTTCTAGATAATGAAAATTGCCAAAGGACATATAGCTAAGGTCTGCCATTAGATAATCGACTATGCTAGAAATGCTGGACTATTTGAAGATGCCACCAAATCACTACTATCACTCTTTTGGGCTATTAATCACTCTATACCTCTAAAGAATGAGAATAAGACATATTATTAGCACTCATCATAGTTTTCTGAACCTCTTCTACAATAATAAATACAGAAAAAATCTGATTATCTGAGAACAGATTGATAGCAGGTTTTCATATCATGAAATACTGTCTCTATGTTGTATATCTATAAGCCCTACAAACAGAGAAATGCATCTGAGCTTTATACTGTATTTGATCTTCATGAATGAAATGCAAACACATTTAAAATGGTAGCTCCACTTTCTACAATAGATGATATACTATGCCAGATGGCAAGTCATTGGTGATACTCTATCTTTGATCTATAAGCAGTGTATGAGCAGATTCACATTATATCAGAGTATATACCAAGCACAGCTGTGACAACATTAGATAAAAATATAGCCAGCTTAGTAATGCAGCAGAGAGACTGCAATGCATTGGCTACATACCAGGCTCTGATAAATCATTTGTTTTCAGCTCATCTGGAGATATTCATTGATATCTACTTAGATGATATTGTGATATATTCTAACTTCTTGGAGATTCATATAGACCACTGTAAAAGCATTTTTGATATTTTTTATCACTAATAGCTGTATTTATCTGAGAAAAAATGTCATGCTCTAGCCACTGAAATTACCATCCTTGGTCATATTGTAGATCACAAGAGTATTTGAATTGATTCTGTGAAGGTCAATTTGATAGCCACATGGAAAGTCTCAACTAATTGGAATCTTTCATGCATCTTCTTAGAGTCAGTGAGATATCTTGCTGATAACATGGTGAATATATAGATATCCATAGGAGTATTATATAGGCTAACAGAGAATACAGTGTCTTTTTGCTAGACTATGACCCATCAGTGTGCATTTAATGAGATTAAGAAATATGTACAGATTTTCTATGATCATTATTGGATACCACTCAACTACAATAAGGATACTTTTACTATTGATCTGATAATAGATACAAGTATTACTAACATTGCAGATGTTGTAAGCTAAGAAGATGACTGATGAACAGTGAGTATGACTGTCTTTTTCTCAGTAAAGTTGAAGCCAGCACAGCAAAACTACTCTGTATATAAGCTGAAAATATTCACAGATATAGAAACTATGAGATACTACTAAGATATTCTGTTAGGATGCTACTTTAAGTGGTATACAGACCACAAGGGCCTCATCCACCTCTTGCATTAGAAGAGTCTGTCTGGCCAACAGACTCACTGGATAGAGCTCATCTCTGATTATACTTTTGAAATAGTTTATATGCCTGGAGTTGAGAATATTCTGAGTGATGCATTATCCTATTTATACTCTAATGATAGTATTAGTACTGTATGTACAGCATCAGAATTTCCTATCCATGATGAAGATCATCCACCTGTAGAAAATAACAAGGACTTGACTACTCCTCTTATAGTTTGGCTCAAGATGAATGCAGTATAGGTCACTACAGCTGTAAATAACTCTTAGTCTAATTTGCTTTACAAATCTTGCAAGAATGAGTCAGCTATAGCATTTACAAGATGTATAGCTAGAAAGATTCATATTCTTGATCTATGGGATGATTATAGTCTTGCTGCATCCAGCAACATTGATGAAATGAGTGACACTGCAATAGTAGATAGAAATGCCACATCTAATCTGCCTACTCACAATGATGAAATCAATTCTATGAGAACAAATACTTAATCCAACCTTGCTGCAGTGCCTGACTCTTACATTCTGATGCTGAGTGAGATAGCATCTGGTAAGATGCTGGACCTATCTTTAGTTGCCCAACTGTTCTCCCAGTTGCTCTTTAATAAATTCCATGCTATGATATGTGTGTCTAATAGCAATGACTCTATGCTGTCAAAAATTATCTCTTTTCTGAGTGAATTTAAAAACTTCTCTCTCAGGCATAGGATCTTGTTCCTGTGATCTAGAGGATAAGATTTGCTTTGTATTCCTCAGAAAGCTGAAATAAATAGCAGAACAATTAGAAAACTGGTGATCAGTGAAGATCACTCTCTATTGGCACACTTGGATGCTGATAAAACTGTGGCTTACCTCTATAATCATGTCTAGTGAAAGATATTAGTAGCAGACGTTCATGCCTTCTGTGCATCTTGCCAGTCAAAGCCATCCAATCAACATCTCTTTGATTATCTGAACCCACTACAGGTATTTAATCAATCTTAGCAGACAATTAGTGTTGACTTTGTAGGCTCTTTCTCTGATTCATCTAATAGAGATAGTGTGTTTAACTCTATAACTATTATAATTAATATTCTTTCATTGATGATCCATCTTATATCTAGCCAGACAGACTACATGACACCAAGTGGCTGAACTAATGTTTGACAATGTATTCAAGCTATATGAATTGCCTGAACATATGATTTCTGACTGTGATGTTCTTTTTATGAGCAAATTTTGGATCTCACTCTACAGGCTCATGAGTGCAAGCTTAAAAATGTTAAGCTCTTATCACTCTTAGACTGATGGCTCCACAGAATATGCCAGCTGAACTATGATACAAATAATTCAATCTTATATATTATCAGATTAAAAGATTGAGTACTATGCCTGTCTGGCATTGAGTTCATCATTAACTCATCAAGCTCTGAATCAATGAGATTCACATCTTTCTTTATCAACTATGGCCAGATGTCTTCAATGAATTATATCAAGTTTTAAAAAATGAAATCTCTCAAGCCCAGTCTCACTGTAAGACTTAAGCAGATAAGTGCCAGACTCTAGCCCTCTTATTTAAAGTCAGTGATAAGGTCTATCTCAGTTCCAAGCATATCAAAACTATCTGATCTATAGCCAAATTCACTAAGAAGTTTTTTGATCTGTTCAAAATCATCAGTTAATCTGGCTCCCACTCCCATGTTTAGAGAAGATATAAATAATAAAAAGTTGGATGAGTTCCATGGAGTTGATGATGTCATGAGTGGAGATAAAGATGGCTTGCTTGCTAGCCTGGTCAATGACTACTAGGATGATGGTAAATCTGTTAGAGTCTAGCAGTTGTTTAATAAAATCCATAGAAATAGAATTCTATAGCTATTCAGAAACAAGTAGAGGTTTGAGCAAGCCATAGGAGCAGTGTCTAGGTGTCTTATTGCATCCACAGACTGTGCAAGATTTAATGTAGTGTTAAACATATTTACACATCTTTAGCCAGATGTAGTTTCACCAGACTAGCTCTAATGTTCAGTTTTGACTAAAGTGACCTGCCAAGATGTGGTTGTGATTGTTCTGCAGTATTTGAAGGCAGAGGTTATTGGTGTCTAAAATATAAATACAGCCTTCAAAGTAAAGGATGTCAGATTCATTGATGGACCACTGAGAAAAAGAAGATTTAAAAGTGAATTTGGCTTAGCAGAGACTGTCAGATGACATAGAGTTAGAGGATTATGCTTATTTGATATCAATATGAAGTTTGTCAATATTCATGATAGTACTAGCTCAGAGAGTAGAGCTTTTAAGATAGATTGCATAGAGTGATGCAGAGAGTTGTTTTTGAGTGAAGACAGATTAGAAGTTATGAAGATTGATTTGGGTGTATTAACTATCCTCTTTTTTAGAGTAGACATCTCATCATCTAGTGAGTGCATTTGGTTTCTTATCAAGTTTCTCTGAGCAGAACTGAATTATCAGGTTGAATTAGAATAGGTATTCAGACTAACAGACTTGTTGGTGGATCAGAATCTTGGTAGTGGTGAAGTATTTAAGATTTTTGTGGTCTGTTACAATATCAATAGAATCTGTGAAGCCTTCCAAATAGTGGTGCCAATGTTTAAAAGCTTTAAAAATGGCCAAAAGCTCTTTGTCATAGATGTTATAGTTGAGTCTGGCATTGTGGAGACTCTAAGAGTGGAAAGCAATGAGGTGAATTTTGTCATCTTCAAGATAGATAGAAAGGATGGCTGCAATTGTGTAGTTGAAGGTATTGGTCTCCACAACTCTATTGATCAGAGATCCAGCAGGTAAGAATAAGTGCATATGTAAAGACCTGTTTCAATTTATTAAAGACAGCCATGCATTTATTATTAAATTTCCATGGAATTTCTTTGTGGGTGAGTTGTGTAAGAGGAATAATGATATCACTATATTCATATATGAAGTGATAGTAGAAATTGGAAAAGCCAAGGAAAGATTGGATGTTCTTGACTTTTTATGATATCAGCTAGTCAACAATAGCCTTGATTTTTTTTTCAGACATGTAAAGTCCTTTGAGTGATAGAATATAGTCTAGATACTTCATAGAGTCCTGATTGAATTCACATTTAGAGCCTTTGCAGTAGAATCCATTAGCTCTAAGTCTGTAGAACTTCATAAACATGTTTCTGATGATCTTCTGAGTTGTTGGAATATATGAGAATGTCATTGAGGTAGACCACTATTGATATGTCAAGCATGTCAGAGAATATATCATTCACAAAGCATTGGAATGCTACAAAGAGACTGTAGTAGATCTGGAAGGCTGTTTTCTATTCATCACTTCTAGCTATGCAAATGAGATAGTAGGCATGTCAAAGATTAAACAGAGTCAAGGAGATTAGAAATGAGAGAAAGAGAGTAGCAATCCTTCTTGGAGATTTTGTTTGAGCTGTGATAGTTGATGCAAAGTTAGAGTTCACTGGTCTTCTTTTTGACAAAGAGGATCAGAGTTTCATGTAGAGAGTGAGGCAGAGTGATAA